CCTAGTAGCGATGCCAGGAGCCCCTAATAGCTTCTTGTTACTAGTAGTAAGAATGCTCCTAGTAGCGATGCCAGGAGCCCCTAATAGCTTAGTAAGAATGCTCCTAGTAGCGATGCCAGGAGCCCCTAATGGCTTCTTGTTACTAGTAGTAAGAATGCTCCTAGTAGCGATGCCAGGAGCCCCTAGTAGCGTCCTTGCTCCTAGTTCGAGCCGGACTCCCGCCACCGTCCCGGCCGTGAAATTGGGACCACGGACTCGTCGGGTGCCGTTCCTTTTGGGGTGGTCTTTTGCGGTCAAGCGGCAAGCGGAGGCGGCGAGCTAGTTCCAACTTTTGCCACGCCTGAAGAGGTTATATTAACGTAGACGGTAGATTTGGTGAATAACCTCCCCCCATTTGGATTTTAAAACATCATCGTATGCGGGTTTTATTGTAGAATCAAGCGTTTATATTACTGCAATATTGGGGTAGAACCTTACAGGAAAGCTTGATCCGGTTGTGCTGATGCATGAGGTGCTGAGAATTGTTTATGATTGTGGTGATGCATGTTCGATCGGTTCGACACCGTCGATTGGACAAGGCCTACCTTCTGAGAAGATGGTTATGGCGGGTGCCAGGGGGGTCTAACCACCTTCTAAGGATATGGACCAGGAGCCCTACAAATTGTGGATCTAGTATGTCCCCAACCGATTTTTTGGTGATGGACGGTTGGCTCGTTGCACGACGGGTCCTGGACCCCCACGTGATGGTCATCCCTTTTGGGTGTCCAGTAGACTACCCAGCCCACTATGCCCACTGTCGGTCCTGGACCTCCAGTCACACCCAGACAGGAGACTACCCCACGGTGTGATCCTGTGGTGCTTGATTTCGACGGTCCCTTCACACTATGAAAGACGTGAGCCAGCCGTTTTCCGGTCAGCATTGCCAGTGCATCAAGCGAACAAGAAGACAGTGCTCCAAACTTGCATCACTACATCACGCATATCCATAGAAAAACAGTACATAGACAGTTGGTCAGGGGAAAAGAGTAAAGATCATGCAAAGATCCTGAGAAAATTCCCAAAGAAAGGAGCCGACATGACCTAGCATACCGGAATCCATTGGCAGCTCCTGGATACGGAAGGCGCTTTTCACCGGATCAACGGTATCAACGGAAGCTGGAACCTTCCAGCCTTGGATCTTTCAATGGTGCTTGGGTTCGACATCATGGATGGAAGAGGATGAAAGCACATATATAATAATCATATAATAATCATCATCATATTATAATCGATTAGAATAGCAAGTGCCCTTCAGTTGGGTCGTGACTATCAACATCACTTACCACCATCTTTGAAGGCTAATAGCTAGATCATGTGCCGCTGTTTGGCAGCTGAAGCCGCTTTACTTTGCCTTTTTAGGTGAGCAGTATGCAGCTCAGCAGCTCCGGATTCTTGAAGGTGCTCCTACTGTTGATACAAAGCAACCTCGCCACTGACTGCAGCTTGTACCATATGCAGCCACTGCCACGCCATGTGTGCAGCCACGTCACGCCTTGCGTCACGCCTCGTCACGGTGCGCTGGATCCCCACGCTGCGGCCCACGTCGGCCCACGCCCGCGACCTGTGTCGCCACGTGTGGCCGCGGCGGCGTTTGCGCTCTTAATCGGAGCTTGGGGGCGAAGAGCACGCTCCCCGGAGAAGAAGGATAACATACCACCCTCCTGTCGGGGTGTCCTGGCTGAACTACCCCAAACTACCTATAGGCTTCCAGGCAGGGCACCCCTTCAAGGGTCCTGGTACAGTTACCCCCCCGGAAATCTCGAAATTGGTCAATTCCCGATCCGTGATAATGGACCAGTGGAAGAGCATTTTCCGAATACCAACCTAGAATACCAATGGTTTTGGGGGGTTCCATGTTTATCTACAGGGGAGTACATTGCGGCTTTATTTGAGCAGCTATGTGTACCACATGGTAAACGTTGTCACTTGATGTCACTTGTATTTGTTGGTTTCCAGTAGTTTCCCCATGTTTCACTTTTCGGTGGCCCGTGACAGGCAAGGCGAAACGACTCGTCGTTTAGACTAGCCCAGCACCTTCTCCAGGTCGAGCTCTTGGCTCCCGGCGGTTTTGGGCGCGCCAAGCGCAGCGCCAAAATGGCAGCGTGCCAATCCCGGGCGCCAAGCGCTATTGCGAGTTCCTGGTGGATGCCGATTCGGTGGGCCTCCCTTTGATCCGCCAAGGCCTGCAGATGCTCACGGACCACGGCTACCAAGTGCAAACCCTGCTCTTCGCTCCGCCAGGCGTGGAAAAGCGTGGAATGCTCCACATCCGGGGACCCAGGATCGGAAGAACAGAAGTGGCACCTCCAAGAAGACGAGCGGAGTTCGTTCAAGACATATACCGACCTCATCTCACGTGCTTTGCTTCCTGAAGCCACCTTGATATCGGAATTATATGATACAGGTTCAGGATGGTTCAGGGCTACCTGGCAGCCAAGCCATGCCAAGCCCATTATTTGGATCCTGTGATGTAAATGTAGTCCGTATGATTCACAAAACAAATGCAAGTCAGAAGGTCAAGGGCAAGAAAAGATCATACCCTGCCCGCCCATGTCTGTGGAGCATTTGGACGACTTGTGGACGACCAGGGCGGATGCAACAGCCACACTGGTCGGACTTTGTGCAAGAGCCTGGGATCTTCTTTCAACCCGTGGCTCGTGACAAGGGTGTCATGGATGCCACCGATGAGGCCATCAAGTCCGACACTGGGCCCGGATGATTCCGTAGCGTCAAACACGATGTCTTGGTTGGGAAGGCAAGCACCTGGGCCTCCCGTTTCGGTAAGATGCTTAAGGATGGTTAGGTGGTGTCCATGAACCGCGCGGGGTGGTTCCTGGTCTATCTTCAGCATGGGGAACGTTCTGCGTAGGACCCGGTAGGACATTCTGTTCATGTTCGCCAGTCTGGTGCAACGCCATGTGCTTTGATGAGGACATTCGGGCCATGAGCAAGTTGCCTTGGGCAGAGCATATGGCTATCTTGACAGGGGATGATGACTTCGTTCCCAGCGTGCAAGAGTTCTGTGCCAGCGGACGCTTGATGGCCTGGGCTTTGGAAGGGGCAGGGGGGGGTCAAGATCAATCAACATTGGGACTTGGAACGGGGATGACACTCAGCGTTTCACCTCTACGCTGGTGCTGTGGAGGTTGGGCCTCCACCCCCAGCAAGCAGCCCCACGCTGGTCACATCCCAATCAACACCCACCCACCGGACCCCCACGCAGTCTTCACGTACGAACTTTCTGACTCGGCCCAGGACGCTCGGCGATGGTACTCCTTCCGCCGGGCAAGACCAGCTGCTTGAAGCGCTACAGCGAGGAGACGGAGGCCCAGGTTTGTACCCTGAAGCCACCCAGGTCGTTGGTGCCGAGACTGCGGTGTCGAGGGTTGGAGACTGCGCCGGGCCGAACGACGCGATGTTGACACGAGAGGACCGATGGGCTGTTTGATCCAGATTCGCTTCCCAAAAGGGGAATAGGTACATACATATAATATATATATATATTATATTATAGTTATATAAAATATATCAGTATCTCTTGTAGTTGTTGGTCGATCCATCCACTCATTTAACATGTCAAATTACGGCCCTATTAAGAATGTCCCAAACAGCTTGGATGGAGTGACCTTGTTGAATTGCCTGACGTGGGTGGCAGAAGTACCGTAGGAAGATCAAAACAAATTGGACGGTGGTTCATCCGGCCGAAGGTGCGTTTTCATCCGGGTGAAGGTGCGTTGTACAGTTTCATACTGGGGGATGTTCATCCAAATCAGTAAGGCCTTGCATGGCCTTGCTAAGCAAGCTATCCATGGGCCGCCATCAAGTTTTCCACACATCTCTCGTTTTCATTTGTTTTCGTCATTTGATTTGTTTGGAAAATGCTTGGCAGGGAACAATTTGCTGCATAGTGGACTACTACGGTTTTTGATTTTTTAAACTTATCTCAACACCGCCATTGAAAGTAAGACACGGGGAAGGTTTATCGGTGGAGATGTTGGTGCAAGGTCACTATATACGAGCTTAACTCGTGAGTTTGAGCATTGACCTTTTTAAAAAAACTGAGGCATGTTCAATATGATCGTTAGACAGAAGCTTAAGTTTATGCTTTTCATGAGCCGTGCTCATAAGCACTGATGGGTCAGCACGTCCAATTTTTTCTGGCAGGTGTGGGGCGTGGGGCGGTTAATGATCACACCGTTTAAAAAACATACTGCAATAAAGGCATCCCGGTGTGAAAAATGACCGCTCACGCCGTACCAGGTCTCTCAGTGTAGGGGAAAGGGTTGTAGAATTGTAATTAATTGTTTATCGGTGACTTTGAACAAATCAAGACAAGCGCAACTTTATGGTCCTTTTATGCAAATTCGGTGTTGGAAACCAAGGCGCCGTGATACATTGAGTTTTCCACGCGGAACACCGTTACAGACAGTACGTCCGCGCATGATGTCCGTGCTGCACGTCGAACCGCGCGAAGGAGCTGCAAAGTAAGTCCTTCAAAGCACAAACCACCACATATATATATATATCAAACCACTCACTATAGCAAACCACTATAAAACAATCGATACGGGTCAGACCCCAACTCTGAAAAAAAAGAGCACCGCAATTCACGCACTTGATTGCAAAAAACGGAGAGAGCGAAGTTCTCTAAACGGCTGGGCTAGGGAATGAGGGATAGGACACACCACACATGTTTATGCATTTGACTTTGCCAGAGCTTCATACGGCGAAACCATACATGCCACGGTCGCTCGGCATGGTTGCGTTTGGCACTTATGCATTTCACTTGGCCCAGGTGAAATGCCCAACTGTGATGGCCCTGTTGCACGCAACAGGGGATGGATCACTGCAGGACAAAGCGGGACTGGCGCCCGGAAGAAGGAGGATTCATTGGTGGGGCCTGACAAAGATGAACAACATGCCCAGAAACAACCGTTACGAGGATCAGAAAGCACTCAATCCAGACTCACTACAAATTAATACTCAATCAGATTTTGTACTCAATGATCAACATTGATCAACAGGCTCTCTTGTGCACAAAACCTGGTATGGACCCTGTTCCTGAAATCAGCCCATTGTCCCTCCTTTCTCACTACGTAAATTAAAGCTCACTAAAAAATTTAGCAGGTAGTTTTCCATGCTTATCCAATTGTAACATAGGTTCCAATGGCCTGAGCTATAATATGCAAAAAAGTCCATTTATGTATAGTGCTTGAGCATTTGCAGCGCTCCTCACAGTGGAGGCCAGGACAAGAAAGCTGCATTGTAAGGTGATATACGTGCATTTCCGTGTATCTCACCCGGTCACCTTCACCCCAACCCAGGAAAAGGACGTTCATCTAACACGAGCGTCACACGAGCGCTCGCGAGCTGCTCGCGCAGCTGCGCGCGTGCTGCGTCCCGTCCAGGAGCGGCAACTCCAATGGCCTGAGGAACGCTGCCTTCAGCTCGACGAGATGTTAAAGACGTTGGCCGAGCTCGGTGCCATGGCGAGCTCGGTGCCGGGTCGCGTCACCGTCACGGGAGCACTGACCGGGAGCACGGATCTTCAATCGGTGGACGACGAGGGCTTGGGGAGGAGGGGGGCGGGACTACGCCGGTTCGACAGAACTGACTTGTGGGAGTGCTGAGAGTGCATGCCGACCATGGCGAAAGCGGGCAGCCTGGACAGCCTGGGGGCAAAGAGTGTACTAATGGTTTGGAATTCCAGACTAATAATAGTTTTTGCCGCAACCAATTTCTTGGAGTTCTTTGAGTTGGTATTTTGCCAGGCTACTACCATCCAGAAGATGAATTTTGGCATCATGCCGTTGCAAAGTTTTGGTTTGCAAACTCCCTGGGCACGGTCCCGGTCTATCCCAGCTGGCTCCTGCACGACGCCGTGGCAATGGTTCTAGTGCCCGACGCGAAGCGCTGGACGCCCCGGGGTGCGCGGCGCTGGGCCTTCGTTCTGCCACGCGTCGACTCGGAAGGCCCAGGCGCACCGGAACGCGCAACCGCTGCGCAGGGTTCCCGCGGTGGGGGGGTAGAGGGTCACAGAACGTGACGCGTCGCCATCCACAGAAGTTAGTGCCGCAAGCCATCCTGAAAGCTAGCCATGCCTATATATAGCCCCTGGTGCCTGCGCCGCGGAGACGCGAGCTCTGGTTTTCCGCTTAAAATGTGGTTTTGAAGTGACGCTATCGGATCCGAAAGCCAGAAAAACCTTTGACCGGCCATGGTATGAGAACTGACAGAAGTTGCAAGTCATGCTTTTGTAGGCTTTGCGCAGGTTATAGGACCTGAGTTATTATAAAGCATCATAAACTTGTTTGTTTTATCAGACCAGCATGTTTTGTCATTTCCGAGCCTTGAAGAACCCATCTTTGCTCCACAAGGCTTGAAGGCTTGGAAGTACGCCAGCCGCTTGGATGCCGAAGTCGCCCGAGCTGGCATTGGGCCCTTCATGTTGGAAGACTCCGAGGACTTGGCAGAAGAAGTCTTGCGAAGGCTCGGATATCTGGACCCCGGAGAGGTTCACAACTCCGACTTCCGAGAGGCGGCCAGCGCCTTCTGCCAGTGCCTTCACACGAACCGCTATATGTTACGAAAGAGTCTTGAAGGCACAGCTCCAGTTAAAATACATGTTAATACTGTTAGTGTTTTGATGTGTTTTGCCTGTGCTGATGTTGTTATGGCTTGTGGTTCCCTGGCCTCCAATTATCTCGAAATGTTGTTCTTTTGAGTGCACATGATGAAAGAATCAAAGTCACCCAGGATGTTGCTGATGCCGGAACCTGGCGACAGCGTGCAAGAGCTGAAGCGCAAATTGAGGGAGGCATTTCTGTCACATAACTCCAATGGTCGGTGGGCGATTGCCCCAGAGGACTCTGCGAGCTGATTATAGCATATTATAGCTGAATGTCCCTTAAAACATGGAGGATGTCTCTTAAGGGTCATTTCTTTGGGCAGTTGCTTTTGGCAACAACTGAACCTCAATAAACATGACCCCCTGTCAGCAGCTTGCACCACTTTCACTCGTGAGTATCGTCCGCGAGGATTCCGAGATCCGCAGCTTTTTGTGCCAAGAGGGCTATTTGGAAGCCACGACTGTTCCGGAGGAGGCAGTCTTCCAAGCGATGCAGAGCTATGCCAAGGAGAAGAGACTACCAGCGAAGAGAAGCCACTGGGTGGTGGTTTGGAGGAAGATTTTCCGTGTTTGTCTTTAAATTCTTTAACATGCACCAACAGATGAGACTTGCGTGCATTTAATTGCGCAGCTTTAGGATCAATGAATTCTGTAGAGATTGACCCCTTCTTTGTGACGGTTGATCTAACCCACCAGGCAAGATTGGCTATACCAGCATGTTGATTGCCAGAGTCCTCCGGCCTCGCAGTGGGGTACATGTTCCGCAGTATGTCCGGCCGAGACTGAGAGGTCCTCAACGGTGACTGTGGAAGCAAGGACTCAGCAAAGGTGGTTTGGACCACGTAGTTTGCCCTCGGGCATCTCGAGGCTATGAACTGCAAAAAGAAAGCCCGTGAGGTCTGCTGAAGTGTGAACCCTTTCTTTATAGGACTTCACATCAGGAACTGCTTTTGGAAAGCAGTAAGCCCGTGTCGGTGCCAACATCTTGGTTGAGTGGAGCTGCCTGCGAAGCCTGGGGGCTTTCAAGCCATACTTCATAGTTGGCGCATGGCGCATGCATACTCCAAGCATCTCCAAGCCATGTCAAGACCTGACATATGTAGACTCTTGATTAATACACCACCCCATTTGAATTGAAACTCATCTGGGTGGGTTTATTAATCAAGAGTCTACATTAATTCAATCACATGTTTTGGGCAGCTGGGCCCACTGGACCACACAACTACGCCCCTTGCGTACACGTACACCGGGCACAGGCAGAGTACGCTTGAGCGTGGTCTTGCCCGATGGAATGATCGCCCCCTGGGCTATCGAAAGGGAACGGTCGGACCGTTGGACCGTGGCGGAGCGAGCTCGGGAAGGGTCCTGGCTTCTTTGGAAAGAGGTCACCTACCAGCACCGAAACCAACAGGTCTCCGAAATGGAGGCTTTAGGCTGACGGAGTTGCAGGTGCTGACCTGTTGGAAGGTCCTGGTCTATAAATGTGTTGCTCACCATTACTTTTTGAAGGTGTATCTAGGAGTGTAATTATTCCGGCGTTGGCTCATCCATCAGCGGAAACCTTGCATTCAAATGCATTCAAAAGGCGTAAGGATGTTTAAGGCGCGGTGCGATAGATTCTGCAGGACTTCTTGATTTCTTGAAAACATCCCTCCCTTCGTTCTGTTTCGCGTACATGTTGAAAGCAATATAAAGCAATTCAACAGAAACAGCTGCACCTAGTTGCGTCCCAAGCCTCAACTCCCCAGCCCTGGAGCCCGACGAACTTCACCCAAACCCTGCTACCTGGGCTCCCAAGGCATGGCACCCGGATGCCCGAGTGGTGGAGAACGGGCGCTTGATCCTCCATGCACCTCGGGACCGGAATTCGTGGGTGGAGATGGGTCATCCCCAGGCGACCCATCCACTCTGAAGAGGTCCAGCCTGGAAGAGGCTGGACCTCTTCCAGCCTCCTACTCTTTGTAAAGGTTGGATTTAAGGTGCGTTTGTTGGCTTGTTGGCTCCCTGAAGATGAGACAGGTCTAGAGGCTGAGTTGAACTGGGTTCAGTTCTGTCCCCCCGAGACCGCTGTCCGAGCTCGCCACATGTCGAGGTCCCCATCCAGACCAACCCGCGCGCCTTGACGAGGGTAGGGCAGCTACTTCTTCATGTGCCTGAAGGCGACTCGGGGTCCGAATTGGGCGTCAATGGTGCTATGATGTTTCATGCTGAAGAACGTATCTTTGAGACGAACCTGGATGGAGATCCACTGTGGGTTCCACTGTGGATCCGCTGCACGGTATTAGTGTGAAATTTCGACTTATTCTTGGATCACCGCACGTGCAAAGAGCATCAGGAGCTCGTGTTTCTGACCCGCAGGGTGTGACGGTGGAAGCCGGCACGTTTGCAACATGGCACCTGGTGCAGAGCGTTGCAGAGCGTGCAGAGCAGTGAAATAAGCGTTCCCTCATGCCATTGGCACACAGGGCGGAACAAACACGACTTGCTATTTACCCTGAATTGTTTGGATGTCATTCCCATGAGACCTGCGTTACACCGTTACACCTGACACTGTCACTATACCAGCACCGAAACCAACAGGTCTCCGAAATGGAGGCCTTTAGGCTGACGGAGTTGCAGTCGGTGGTGACCTGTTGGAATTCCTGGTAGGAGCGGTTCGCTCTCTGTTTCCATCATGAGCGGTTCGCTCTCGCCCCACTGTTCGGACGTTCGACTCGCTCGGCTCGCCGGTTCGCTCTCGCCGTCTGGCTCGTTCGAGCCATCCGGTGGTTCCTTGGGGTTTTGCTTCGGGGGGCCAAGAAAACATTGAAAAACATCGTTTTTGTACGGATCTGGAAGAAATTCCTTGTCAGAATGTTATGTCAGAATCGATTTTATAGAGATTTCGACCTGGTCATGACTGGACACACCCAGTCCAATACTTGGACACATGTCGGACCTGCTTCGAATGGGACGTTTGTGAGGTGCCTCTGGCTGAGGCTTGTTCTTTGCTTACGGTGATTTTTAGTGATGGTCCCATCGGTCCCATAGCCTATGGATGCCTATGGGTGAATCCCCTCCTAGGGAATGTGTTTCCGGTTCTTGGACGAGACATTCTAGGTTCTGCAACAGTCTAGGGCTTGCAAGCTAGGTTTAGGGCTCAGGCATTTAAGGCTGTCTATAGTCTATAGTCATCTATAGTCCATATATATATATATAACTAACTTTATTGATATAGTTTGTAACTGCAAACCATGAAGCTCTTCGAACGTCCAAGATCACCAAGGTAAAACACCAGACAAAACAACATCGTATCATTGACTTCTCGCGCCGAACAACAACAAGAACAACAACAACAACAACAACAACATGAAAAAACAACGGGGGGGGGCAGAGAGAGAGGGAGAGAGAGAGAGAGAGAAAAACGCCAGCTCGACTTGGCTCAACTCGGCAGCGGAGGCCAGCTTCATTGGGCAGACTTCTCGATCCCTCATTGCGTGGCTCGGAACAATGGGGAACGGGAAAGATGGTGGACCGGTGGCGTCAACGTTGGAGGATGCGGGAGGGCGTGTTTTTCCCGAAAAGGACCCAGGTTACCGTATAATTAGTGCATGATCAGTTATGCCTCAAGAAAGTTGAGATGATGTGTCCTTGAGTCTCTTGATGTCTCTTACAGCGCCTCCACAAGTCTTGGAGGTGACTGCCTCGGCAGGTGAGGTGTGGATCTTGTTGTTCTGCTGCTTTTGGATGATTGTGGTGGGTGAGGCAAAAGAGGAAGGCCTGGGTTACTCTCTCTGGAATTCACATTGAAGTGGAGTTCACCACCTGTTTGTAGTGGATTTCATGGTCTTCCTTTCGGGGCAAGGCCATCCACATAACCATGTCAATGTTACTTCCAGAGAGTGTACTAAGACTGCACCGGTCGCTCGGTCACCCACACGGTCCACGACCTCCTCTCGCCCGGCTCGCGCGAGCCGCATGGTTGATCTGATGTGTTCGGCATGCGATCCTCTTGAGCTAACCCAGCGTTAGCTGACACAGCGCACCTCAGATGCGGTGCTCGTCGCCGAAGGGTTTCTCCAGGCACGGTTTCTCCAGCTCGTGTTTTGCCAGGTCTTCAACGCGGGCACTCAGCAGCTCAGCGCAAGGTGTGAGGATGTCCTGGATTGTCAGATGTTGAGCAGTTGGTACAATACCCTAGTGGTCAAAGACTCAGACCTTTTATTACAGGAGTTGGCATACAAACAAACACTGATCCCTTCCACCGTCCACCTATCAATAAAACATGCGGCCCCCTATAAAAGAAACTCCTGGTGCATTTTTGTTAATATAGGAGGTTCCCCAAATGGGGGGTACAGTATCCGAACTGGAACCCATCTATAGGAACCCGGGTTTTGGTCACTAGGACTCAGCTAGGCAGTCTGAGTCTAAGTGGTGTGTTGGCAGCCTGGGCAGCCACAGAAACATCAGCAGAATGGACCGATTCGCACCGGCCGTTCCCTCCAACAGTATCCAACAGCTTAGATATCCAACAGAAAGGGCGCCACGCTTCAAGAAATTGCCAACTTATTAGGACTCGGACTCTAAGAGGATATCAACCAGCCGAACCAGACAGACAGGCTTGCTTTTGAGATAGCCAGCCGAACGAGCTTGGCACCAGACAGCATGGGTGGAAAGCCAGGGTAGAGAGCCAGGGTGGACAGCCAGGGTTGTTTAGGAACCTCATCTAAACAATACCGCCAAATGTACCTATAGTTTGCATGTGCTGAATATATATATATATAGTTAGTTGTGGCTTAAGAAGGTTTAAGGGTCTCCGACATGAGTTCTTTTTTCCATTAAGGAGTGTGTTTAAATCGGTTCTCGGGATATACTCAATGAGGTAAAGGACCAGCTTGTAAAGGTTTTGGTTTGACCCGTCGACTATGAGAAGAACCTGAAGCTTTGGGCTCTCGGTGACCCGACTGCCTCACGGGACGTAGCTTTGGAAGGGAGACCTTGGGGTGAAAGCTGCCCTGTCATTGACATCCGTTGGGTATGTCCTATTACCTGTAACAGCCAGTAACCATGATCATCATGTTTGAACTGTCGGCCTGCAACCAGGCCCCATCATCCACTGGGCCACGACATCCGCTGAGTCCTCGCCTTCCGTCGCGACTTGTCCCACCCAGGCCTCGGGTACACCTCATTATCGACGTCCTGGGCCGAGACAACGAGGACGGGAGGAGGGGAGAAGGTCTTGGAGGCGAAAAACGCGTCATGTCGGGAGAAGGGCGTGCTAACCCATGCATGGCCATTCCCATCCCCATAGCCCCCCAACAGATGATCATATGGACAGGTATATGGATGCAAAGCAAAGCTGATTCTTTAAGGGCGATCTTTTGGTGATTGCATGAGTCATCACTACCCCCTTGCGGTGCTTGACCCCGGGGGGTAAGGTAGTAGATAATGAGTTTGCTTCTTTGGGACCCTCCGATGCGCCGTTTTCCGCTTCCTGGCGCCACACCGCTCTCAGGACTTTGCACGCAACTTCCTGGCGCACCTGCCGACGGCCGAGGCGGAGCGCTTCCGCCGCCATGCGCTGCCGGAGGTGGCCCTCGGGGAGGCTGGGGACCCATGCGCGCTGGTACCATCGAAAATGGGTTCCATCCTGCCGATCCACTTGAATGGAGCAGTATTCCATAGTATTCATTAGGAAAACTATCATATATATATATATAATCATAGATGTACCAGATATGATATAGAGCAGGCTAAGTGTGTGGGTCGAGTTGGGCACGCTGGACGGATGCCACAAGATCTTGTTTGGCCGCTCTGCTTCCACGCTGGTCAGCATGTGCACTCAGGCCAGTGCGGTGGGTCCACCTGGCACGCGCTTTGCGCGCCCGCTCTCGCGGCAGATGAGCGACACCTTTGGCATGTTGCCGCCCGGCTGGTGGAAGGGGGGGGGGGCGTTTTGACGATGCGCGTGGTGAAACACTCCGTGAAATCATCATGGATGTCCTTTTAATATCTTTTAATAAATGACAGGGAGTCTTTAACTGTGAAGCCGACGGAAGCAGGTTCGGTCAGAAGGCGGATTGATTGACTAGAGCTACTGTAACTCTTTGAGCTAGAGAAGTCCAGCTCTCGGGTGGGTTTCACAATTTCATCCTGTGAGGATGCTTTTGGGACCAACTATACAGTACTACAGACTATAGTTGTTGCATGGTAAGGCTGTGCAGTATCCACTTGGGGTGACACAAAAAAAAGGAGTAAGTTAAACGCCATGCTTCCAAGCCCGGGTAGTTGAGGGGCTGGGCGGAGCTCCCAGCGGGAGAGGTTTGGCCATCCCTCGAGCGAACGGATCATGGTCACCTGCCCTCCTATCACCACTCCAGTTGCACCCCTTCGATGGGTTTTGCTGGTGATCATTCCAGATCTTTACGTATATACCTGGACCATCCAAGGGGTGCCCAATGGAAGTCTATAGGTAGTGTGGGGTACTCCATTGGACACCCCTGGGATGGTCCAGGTATACAGTATAGTAATACAGTAGTATATACTTAGACCCCCAGTTGCCACGTGAGCATCCAGTGTTTGAAGCGATTTGGGTCAAGTCAGGTCGCCACATGTTCGCACTTGGCCAGGTCAGGTCGCTTCTACCTGACTTCACATAGAGGTCCTCGTCAGATGTGGGGTTCCAACAGGTTGGAACCAACAGGTTTTTGTTTGTTTTCGTCTCAATCAGCTGAAGAACCAACCCTTCGAACACCGTCACCAGGGTGGGCGCAGAGATGCTGAGCTTGGAGCGCAGGATCTGGGAACAGGTGACCAAGGCATATGCCTCGCAAGTCGCCTGAAAAGGGAGCGGTCCACGCAGCTGTGCGCGGGTGGGTCGTCATGCCCAGGCACAGCCCGGGAGAGTTGGAGAGTGTTGAAGAAACCCTGGGTCAAACCGCAGGGTCAAGTCAGGAGTACTTAAAAACAGGTATAAAAACCAGCCTCATCCAGCCTCCCATGCTGTTTGCCAAAGCTTGTTGCAGCATGTTGCTCGCAGATCAGGGCGATCACAACGGCCATCCTCGGCTCAAGCAGATTTGAGGTCTCAGCCGAGCCGGCGCTGTCTCGATGGGCCAATCTCCGCACCCAAACGGCTCACTCTCCGCTGGCGGTCGCCGAAACCGTATGTCCAATGGGAAAGCTCTTTGTTCCTGCTCAGGACCCGTGTCTCGTTCCCTTTCGAGACGCACCCGGTGCGCGGTGCGTCGTCCTGTGCGTCTCGTGTCCTGTGCGTCCTGTGCGTCCGGTGTCGGAGGCCGGAGGGATCGATCGGAAGGTGGAGGTGCTACGGCCGGGCTTCTTCGTTGGTGAACGCATAGTCATCTAAGATCATCCAATATCATTGAAGGTTCTGGAGTAGAAGTTCCAAAGGGGTGGCTATAGGGTGCCCATGCTCTGCTCACTTAGCATCCAAAAGCCACGGCCTTTTGGAACTCCTTCGTCACCTCGTTGGGGTTCCAGCTTTGTTTACGGTGTGTGCAGTGCTTGGGCTATAGAATGAACTCGGTCCATTGCCTTGTTGTACTACTCGCTGCTGAAATTCAATTTTGACAGATAATCCAAAATAGAGATAATCCAAAATAGCCGACAGTTGCTTGATTGTTTCTTGTTTCAGCCTGTGGGATTGGCTGCAGGTTTTCTTTTTGGAGCTCTACTGAAATACAATGAAATACACATGTTGGTCTTCGGAAAAGAATGACAGTTGTCCCTTCAGAAGTGGTTCAAGTTAAAGGATTTGGCTCCAGCAGGGGGCCTTGTGCATGTGACCTGTGGCATCCAGTCCGCCAGGATTTGAAGGACTTGCGGATCAGAAGCGATACTGACTGGCTACGCGTGCTGGATGGAGCAACTCGGATGGGCAAGAGATGTCCCAAACATTCCCAAACACTCCGGGTGTAATATGCCTACATTGACACCCCAAACCACCCCAAAGTAGGTGTATATATATACATACATACATACATATGGCATAAATGGAGTGTTTGGGTATGGAACATGAACACACTATGATTTTTCGGAGATGTGATGGGTACCCACCCCCACTCACTAATGAGAGTAGATTATGATACCTTTGCCTTGGACAGGCTGACCTTAAAGGTAGCGGGCCGCCACTGTTTGTACAAATATATTCAACGGAACTTCGACTTCGCATAGTCATCGGTGCATGACGTTTACTTTCGAGACTGGGTCATGAAACCACACGATTCGAGAAGTCGGGGGCGCCATCCTTGCTCCAAAAGCAGGTGTTCATATGTTGGAAAGATCGGGTGCAAATCCCATCCGCGAGCCATCCTCATCAGGGGACTTGGGATGTAGGAAGCTTTGGACCTTGCCTCAGGCCAGGGCCCTGGCTTTGCTGTGGACCTTCGCATTGCATTCCTTGCTCCTGGAGACTTGGGACGTGGAATCTCAGAAGCGAAGAGACCTCGAAGAGACTTGGGACGTGATGAAGCGACAGTGGTGGGCGCAACTGCCCCTCCAAGGCAACACCGGAGTGGATGCCTTCTTCGTCCTGAGCGGTTGTTTGATGACTCGGAGCTACGAGAAGCTGCGCAAAGCTTCTAAACAGCCGCTTTGGAGACGGTATGCGGTGTTTCTGCTGTGCCGCTTCTTCCGGTTGTGGCCCATGGTCTGCGTGGCCGTGATGGCGAGTTTGTTGATGGGCTTGCTTCCTTGCTGTGCTTGGTCAGCTCGCTGGCACTCGATTTGGGCGCACCTTCTGCTGGTGCAAAACCTCGATGTTGAGAGTCTGAAGAATCCCGACCTCACTGTTTTATGGAGCATTGGCACCGAGATGCAGATCTACTTGATCACCCCTGCCCTGCTAGAGCTGCTGCTTCGGCCAACTGGTCAAAGGCGAATTTGGGCCTTCTTTGCCTTGGGATGCATCTCCATCTTGAGCACAGTCTTCAGGTTCTGGCTGGTCTTTGGTTCGCCTGACAACCCCATTGAAAGGACTTGGCCCCCTCGGCCCATCTACGCAAATCCCCTCTCTCGCCTGTCACCCTACCTGAGCGGCATCGCGCTTCAATTGGCCTTCGCAGAGCGAAGCCTGGCTCCGAACGCCACGACAGTGATTGCAAGCGCCGACTCCACCGCATCACGCGCCGCGGAAATTCCGCGCGCCGCGATGGCAAGCGCCGCAGTTTTTTCGGATGTGGCGGCGCTGGGTGTTCTGCTTTTGTCGCTGCTTCTGGGGCAGAAGCCCGAAGCTGCTCCTTCCTTCATGTTCGACCACTTCTCCCAGGTGTTGGGTGTCGAATGCATGGCCGCGCGTGTTGATTGGGGTTTAAGGCTTAAGGCATCGTCCCCAAAGCCCACACATCAATCAAGCCCACTCCATCCCACTCCAATTTTTGCCACGAATGGTTCACCCGTGATCAATTTTGTCGCTTGAGTTGACCAATGCACAGGTGGTTGTGAAGCTCATTGCCATTCTTTTTCCACCCATTTATGGCTGGGCTTTGGCTCGCGTGCTGTTCCGCTGCCTCACCACACCACGGGGTCGCAGCCTTCCCTGGTCAGCGCTCCTGGGCGGCGATTGCCGGGGTTGCCACTGAAGGCACTGGGAGACCCCCCAAAGAGCTCCAAGGGAAATAGACCAGTCTATGAAACTGTAAACTTCTGAATGGACAATTACTGTGAACTCCTGAATTTGATTGGCATCGACCAAAGTTTTGTTTGGGATTCTTTGCGTTGAGTGTTGGATAAGTTTGGTGTAAGATGGTGTAAGGGTGTCAATGGGGTTTGTCCTACTACCTGTGACAGTCAGCAAACAATTTTGTACTAGTTTTGGACAAGGCCTGCAACCTAACCATCATCATCCACTTGGGCCCAGGTAATAGGATAGACCCTGTCGGTGTCACTAGTTCGCCCGTTCGTCTCGGTCGATGCCGGACCGAAGCCACTCGTTGAAAGCGTGAGCACATTGAAAGAAGTGGTTCACACATTCAAAAAACTAAGTAAGATGGAATCTATATACCTCAAGACTCAAGACACATCAAAACACTGGCATTGCTGACAGCCTTCAGGTTGCAGCTTTTCTTGGCATCAAAGATCTGGAGGTGCTTGGCCACTTTGTCCTATTCTGCTTATGTGATGCAGCAGTTTGCTGTGCAGCCCCTCGCCCGGCTCATGAAGGAGCTGGATTTGCAGTGGACTGCGGACACCTCCGTGAGTGACTTGGAAATTCGGTTCCGGTGGCCTCGCGTTTTGGGCGATTCGGAGCAATCGAGAAGGACCAGCCCTCCTCCTTTCTTGGCCTCAAGAAACAGCTTCAAAACCCACATGGAGCCCTTTCTTCAAGAAAAAGCTTCCCCCGGTGGCCCACCTAGGTTCACCTCTTCTTTGGTCGCAAATGCTGTTCAGTTTCTCTGGTCAACCAGGTAGCCCGGTGCCATGACCGGACCCCGCGGTCGACCTCGGGCCATGGGGCCCATGGGGGTCAGTAGCAGCAGCAGTACAGTTGTCACAGCACTAAACTGAGCTTGGGAGGGAGGACATGCATGCCATTTCATGGCCACTCTTGGGCCGAAGACAAAGAACACCAAGTGCACCTGTTTGTTCCTGCGCATCTGTGCTGTTTCTGGATGGTTTGGCTCCTCCCCCATTTTTCTGCACGTGCCATTCCGACGAGGTGAAGCGATTTGGCGCTATCCGGTGGTGCTGCTCCTTTGGACCTTGATGAGCTGTTTGATCGCCCTACCGTGTCACTGGCCGAAACCACCGATCTCGCGGGAGATGTTACTACCTTGGAACATCCACCGTACGTCGACTCTGGACAGAGACATTCAGACACAGTTTCTAACTTATTTGTGAACCTCATGATTTGGGTCTGTCCATGTCTGTCCTAATACCTGCAACAGTCTGTAAACAAGCAAATCGCTTTTATGACTTGTATCTACTGGTATTCAGACAGGTAGGCGGTAGGCCCAACTCATGATCATCTACAATTTCTATCATAGACGCACCGAAAACAAGGTCATGTGATCATTGAGAAGCCTGGCATCCGCCTGGGCAGGCCATCGGAAGGGGGTGGAGGGGTGGGTCGAGTGAGAACTCGACCTCTTCGCTGGGTACCGAGGGTACCCTCCCATCATGGAAGTAGACGTCCTGGCCCCTGGGAAGAGGCAAACACGGGATGAACTCCAGTGTACATGTGATTTGTGAGCACTGATGACTGATGTTGTAGGGTTATATACCATCCAATTATCTCCAATCTATACACCAAGGGATACCAAGGGAGGGTGTGCGAGTGATTTGTCAGCACTGATGGAATCCGCCTTATGACATGTACTTGGTTGGCATGTCTTCTCGCAGCTTTGCAAAGCTCGACGTTGTAGGGTTGTACATTGTATACCATCCAATCATGTGCAATCTATATATATACTATTTATATAAAATATACTGTATAAGGGATTTTGACCGCGGAAAGGGTGGTTATTGGAAGAAAGATACCTAGACTTGAGTCGGGCACGCCAGCCATAGACTCAAGGAGACAAAATAGTTTTTTAAAGCAAAAACAAAGCAAAAAAACAGCAAAAGGCAAAGCAAACAAAAAAGCAAAAAAAATCAAGCAGAAAGCGCAGCCATCAACTTAAGTTGACAAGGACAAAGCATGGTAAAGCAATGGAAAAGCAAGGATCAAGCAAGGAAAAGGCATAGAACATGAAGGCAACAAGGAAAACAATGCAGAACAGTCCAAGCAATGGGAAACAACACCAAAGATAATGAAGGAAGAGAACAAGGGCCAAGGGCAAAGCAAATCCATACAACTTGATCGAGCATACAATTAAGCAGAAGTGGACCAGCAAAACGCAAAACGTGAATCGTGATGTGTGATGTTTTTTGCCTATTATTGCGCTTTGGTTTTGCTTTGTTATTTGCTTTTTTTGGCTTTGTTTTTGCTTTTTGTTTTTTTTTGTTGGCTGTGTTTTTGCATTTTCATTTGCTTTTTTTTTTTCTCACTTTTTTTCTCACCAAAAACTATTTGATGGTTGGCCATGTATGGCTGCCATCGCCCAACACAAACCTAGACAGTCAGGGGTGTCTACAAACCACCCTTTCCGTGGTGCTTGTCGTGTGTGTATGTGTGTATGTTTGTTATACCTTGAAATACCTTGGGTTTGTCATGGTTTGTCCTATTACCTGTGACAGTCAGGTTTCACAAGTCACAAGGCATGCAACCTGGGCCATTATCCATTGGGCCCTGGTAGACCCACCGTGTTTACTGTGTGGGATCTGTGCCATTTGCAGATCCCAGCCACGACCCCTAGGAGCCCACTTGACGTCCGAAAACACGCCCGACAACGACACAAACTTGGAGCCCGGAAAATGATTTCACTTTATATGTACATAGTATGTGAAAGAGTAACCTTATATAGTTTGAACAATTGTTGGACATGGCCTCTTGTTGTATAGGGGGGTTCGCTTGAAATGCTCTCAAGCTTTGGAGCGTTTAGCTGCGGCTGGCGGCCACTAGGATACTCAGCCAACGAGCTTTGGGCGACGGCAGCTCGGCGGAAAAGCCTGGCCAGGCGGCCAGGGTGGCGGCCTGACCCTCGCGCCCTGATTTGAACTGGATCACTACATCACTGGCTGATGTCACCAGAACCCTCCCCCAAAAAACAACCCAAAGATGCCAATCAGCTCTCTTTGAGCTTCAGCTGTTCGTCTTTTGGCCAGCAACATGCGTGCGCAGGGCACAGGGTCTCAACCCGACCGATGGATTTCACCACAGGATCTTTGCCTTCTGGTTAACTTGGGCCACTCCAAAGATCGGAAATCCTTGCTTGCTTGGCATGCTGGAATGATATCTCATAGTCTAAAACCAACCTGGTTGCTCGTTCGCCGTATCAACTCGACCTCAGCCGCATCTATATGAATATGTTGTGTCTCAAGTACTGGTAGGCTCCCGTACTCTCTTTGTAGAAACCTACGCAGATCAGGGCGGAGAGCTGCATCCCTTATGCACTTATCACCCGGCGATGGTGGCCAATGGCGAGCTCGGGACCGAGGAGGTTCTCAAGCACTGGACTCACTTTGCACCACCTCTCAGTTCAGTTCATGGTTTCTGATCTCTCTCTCTATATCCTTATGCCCATCGAGGGGGGGGGAGGCGATCCTTAGGCCCGCGGCCGTCACGTTTCCAGCTGGTTCTTTCACTCCTTCGTCGGTGAAGACCGAGCGAGGACTCACGGACTGACCCGGAACTCGGAGCTAAAACCAGGGTGTGTGGCACTAGAGTCACTACCAGGGACAGTCAGCAAAAAGCAATTGACATCGTTTTAGAGAGTCAGGCCTTTGGCCTTTACTATCCTTTACTCACCATCCTCATCCACTGGGGCCCTGGGACATACTATTTGATATAGCATGGCCATGATATACCCAACTTATATACTGCAGTTGCTTAAATCTCCTTTGGACTGACTAGGATGCCTCTGTCGTCGCATGGCCGGGACCGGGACCCACGATCCGAGGAGGCGCCCCATGGCGACCCCACAGCGAGGGTGTTCCTCGAGCGCGAGAGGTAGGAAATGATGAAGCCTAGGGCTCCAAGGTGTTGAAACCGAAAAAGACCTTCAACGGAAAAAACACAACGAAGGGGTATGGCTATGTGTGGCTCATCCAGAGTTTTTGTTGAAATGCGGCGTTTTTGGGATTAGAGAACTATCAAGGTTTCTTAATCCTATTTCCTTGGTAGTCTGACTTGTACTTGCATGTCTTAATCCAGGACGTCTTTTGAGTATTGAGTATCCTGTGCATCGCGCCAGCGTCGCACCGGCCATCGAAAATGATGTTTCAGAGCCATTTCAGACCAGTAGGGGGTTTGCGTCGTTTACTAGTTCAATCGCCCAGTGGTGAGTGTGAATCCTGGCGCTTGTTCGGAAGTTCCAACTCCGCGCTTGGTTGGCACATGGAAACTGGACACGGCCCTGTGTTCACTTGGAGGATTGCTAGGAAATGAGCAACATAGGCAAAATAAGTGAAATCATAAGAGAAAGGACGAACAACATGCATAAATCAAGCAAAGGAAAGTCTGGACACTGCAATGTCACGAGGCACACACACACAAGGCGCTTTGAAACAGAATCAGATTGGGAAGCCTTCAAGCCTTCCACACAAGTCTGAACCGGATCTGCACCATTGCCCTCCACCGTGTATGCTATGTCTCCCTTTGCCGTGGTGCGCGCACGGAACTGGTGACGTCGCAGCTTTTGCAGTGCATTGATGCTCAAACCATCGATAAAAACTATGTAGCTGGACGACTGATTTGGAGTTGCTTCCCAAAACAGGGTCTAAGTATGTCTAAGTAGCTAACTTTCCCTCAAAATAAGACTCAATTTGTTTGTATAATGTAAGTGTTTTGACGTAGTTGGAGCCCTAGGGGAACATAGGTGAAATTAGCAACTGAGGCAATTGCTCCACTGCACAAGTCGGTTTTGTGGGCCATTTGCTGTTGTAAAGTTGTACAGGCTGGCCGACGCCCACGCTTGATCAGCGTTGAATCGATGGAACTTTACAAAAAAAACTTTGAGTTGCAATAGCTCAATAGCTTTAGTTATCATGTGGAGGCGCTACAAGTAGTTTCACGTATATTTTATGTTGCATGAAATGCAGGGTCCAGGGTTCCCTACTTCGTCGCTTGGAAATGCGCGTAAGTCGCTCATCATATTTCCAGACATTCTCCGTTGAACCCTTGGAACTGTTGAACCATGATGTCCAAACCTTGAGCCATTGAACCGCTCCCTTAGGTTGAACCATTGAACCCTGGAAGATTCCCCATGAAGACCAACGGACGAGGGTCGGGTCGCTGTGCTTGAGACCCCCACTCCATGGGGTGGTTTGAGGTTTGCCGGGTCAATGTATATACACATGACATGTATATATATATATATGGAGTACATGGAGTGTTTGGAGTTTTTTGTGCTGAGAAGGGTGTGGAACGAAAGACTAACCACAGTTCGACGCGAAAGTTCAAAGATTGGTGTGTTGGATCCATTCATCTTTCGTGCAAAACAGACTCGCACCGCTGGCTTTGGTCGTGACATGTCGTGACTCTCAGCGCCGCCCAGTAAGCGCAGTCGGACATTGGTTACTCGAACTTGAAGGTTTTTTGGTGTGACAAGGTCCGTCGAGTGTGACAGGGTCAACGGTGTGTTCGGTCGATGCCCTGTTCACTGAAAAACTGAATGATTGCATCATTGCATCGCGGATTTTTTTCTGAAACGATGTGCAATGTACTTGTTCTTCGAGGTGCGGGAAAACCAAAGCTGTTAAGGTAGCTCACCCAAAAGGTCCGTGTAGTATTTGATGCTGTTGTGTTGGGCGCAGGTCATCTTGACAATATGGGTGTGTATCAAGATAGGGGGACCTCCCAAAGACCCCTTGGAAGAAGGGAAATAGACCAAAACATACCCAAACCATCCAACACCTATTGATATTGGTTGGCTGTTTGCTTCCCTCGATCCTGCGCATGGTTCCTGGGCCTTGGGTTCATCAATTGGGCTACAAGTGGTCTTTTGGAGGGTGTGCCCATCAGCCCAAAGTTGCCCATCAGCCCTAGTGTACTTGGGCATTACTTTCATTTGCGACGGTAGTAGAATGTCCATACACCCTAGGGCGCACACCACGGTAGCGTGGTTCTTTGGGCGGCATCTCTCATTGACTCCGGGGAGGACGGCCTGAATCCGGGACAAGCAGCAAAGCCGCAAAGCCCATTGTTTGGGGGTCTCCAAACATACATGTTAAAGCATGTTAAAGCCATAGATGTTAGAGTATCAGCCAGCCATGCATGCTGACATACATTTTTTTGCCAGGAAGCGACCAGCACCTCCGGCTGCGAGGGCGGAGAAGGTCACAGATCTGGCAAGGCTTACGGATCGCTTACGCAGTTGGATTCTTTGCGTTGACCATGGCCATGGCATACCCTCCATATCCTCATTGTGGTCCATCACACCACCTTGATCATTGGCTTTTGTCCCAGGCGAAGATGGAAAGACCAACCATACGCCAAGGCCTCGACCTCGGGCCCAGACTTGGGAGGTTGGACGATCCCCGGGAGAGTGAAACGTGAAGATCGCCCGCGTGTTCGTCCTCTTGAACTACCCTTCGTTGGCCCTGACGGCAAAATGAGAGGGTGAATCCCTGTCAACCATTTCAAACCATGTATTGGGTTATTTGATGTTATTTGTTCACTTTTAGTCGGCAGCTGATTCAAGTTTCCAGGAAAAAGACCCGACTCGTTGGTGAGATGCTGGGCTTGCTGGAGGGGTTTTGTGGGACCCATGCAGCAAACTGACAGTTTGGGATACACATCGGATGAAGGTCCATGAAGGCAACATCCAGAAGTATCCCAACCTTTGATCTCCCTTTCGCGCTTGGCATGGATGACGACAAGGTCCCCGCATTTCCCAGCCTTGAAACGCCCCCGCTACAGCCCCCTATCCGCCTCCAGGTGCGCGGAAGGAGGATCGGATGGCGCAGATCGAGCCGCCAATGGCCGTGGTGGGTCATGGCCAAGGTGGAGCGAGACCACAAGGGGGGCTGGAAACGACGGTTTGGTTCATTTTTGGGGCCATTAAGGGCCGATTTCCTAGGAAACATGTTAAAACGATGGTATGGTTCTTATGCAATCTGATGCCTTAATTACATTGTGCAACCCATGTCATATGGTCAATAGGATCAACAAACTGCTAATCACATATTTATTTCATGAATGATATTCAATTTCCTGTTTCATGAAACGTTTTTGTTGTGCGCGTTTTTGTATCCTCCCTCCAGCCACTTGGTCAGGTGTCGCCCTATCAAGGTGGTGGCCGCCTGGGGGGCCGTGGCACCTGTGGTAATGGGCAGCCAGAGGAGCTAGCAACCAATGTATGACATCCGTTGCCATTAAATTATATCAAAGAATTTGTTCAATCACCTTAGGGATGACCTGTTAACACTGTTTGACGCAGTTTGTTTTCAGTGGCTTGAGGTGCTCCAGTAGTTTAAGGGTCAAAATGGCTCAAGTGAGTTTTGCTTGGTATGTAGAGCTGGATGTTCGGAAAGCATGGCGGGGATTCCTGGACCTCACAGAGACTGTCCTTGGTCCATTCAAAGGCACCGTGGGCGATGTAATTCAGGCCGGACCGGATATATAACATATATATACCTAGAACCTGAATGACCTCTATTTTGGACCACCAACCACCCAAAATATGGCCTTTTCCTATCAAAACAGGGGTCAGTTGGGTTCCAGGTATATATATAAGATGATTTGCCCTCAGCTTGCCCCAAAAACACCTGAGAGTAGATGGCTGGCTCCAACGGGCCGTGGAACGTTCGTGCGCACGAGCGGTCGAACCCCGCCAGGAATCGCCCCACGGGACGGGCCACAAGCAAGGGCCAAAGGCGGGAGGGGGAGATCACCCCACGGATGAACAAGGGACCAATAAAGGTAATAGACCTGTCAGGGGCTCCAGCAAGAGCAGATGGCGACTGCCTGGAAGGTCCGGACCAAAGGTTCTCCGGTCATGTTAGACTCTTGATTACTGAAACACGTCTTCCGGTCGGGGACTCTACTACATTGTATTACTCAAGGCTCAAGGATCTACATTACTGGTGTGGCATTCCGATGCTTCAGTGAACTTCAGTTGTTTCGAGCACCGGAGATTTTGTTCATGATGTCCTGCCATTTCCCGGTTTTGACACAGCCAAGTGTCGCATTCTCCGTCCTTCTGAATCCTCCACAGACGCCTTTTGGATCCTGTTGGCATCCAGTGTGTTGATCCAGTGTGTTGGGTTCTTTCGCTGGTGACTGACTTATAGAATCTATCTACTGCCAGCTACTGACGTTAGCATTGGAAACGATTGGAAAGTCGGATGCCAGTCCGCCAGGAAGAGCTTCAATGCCAAGCAACCAGCTGCTCGCCCAACACGGGGGTCAGAATGATCTATCCCACCATATCCTGCAAATGCATGCATCGTTTAGCATACCTCCTGCGGAATAATATATCCCCAAAACCACTGGGTTGTAAAGGAACTTGGTCTCCAGCGGGTCATTGTTTCAGTTCATGTTACATAGTCTGCATGGGGGTAAATTGTGCAATCTTCGGAGCAGGGACTAGTATGTTCAATACACATTTGACCTTTTCATGATATCCGTTTGAGATAAAGTTTGCATCTGACACATTCGCAAAACACCCAGGCCTTTGAGACACGATATATTTGATCATATTTGCTTCCTGCTAATGATGGATAGCTGCAAGTAATGGTTTATAATATGTGGAAGCTTCAGTGAAACCAGCGCAAGACCCATGAGAGATCATTCGAGGAGCGCAAGACCCAAGAACCTTGGGAAAACAACCATGGCAGGACTGGCAGGACCGTGCAGAAACCCATGAAACCCCCACAATCTTGGGATATATATAGGTTTTGGCAATAGCTTGCAATATTTGTTCTTTGTGTTCACGGCTCCCAAAACAAGAGCCACTAACTATGCGGCGCATGGTTTGGAAGCGTTTCTCTTCCCTTGGGCATTATATGTCATTATGAAGTGGCGCAGCTTGAGCCTGCCCCTGGTACCTAAAAAGGGGCGTG